TGTTTATTTTCTGTTAGTGCAACTGTGCTGAGGACCTGGTCCCATATAAAACGTGAACGCATACATTCCAACAAATGCAAACTAGCATATACATACACATATATCTAGGCTTAAGTAGGGGTGTGCTAAAACCGAACCTACCGATAAATCGAACCGAGAAAAGTGTTATTGGCTTATTGTTATTGGGTTATTGGGTTAACGGTTTCTTAATGGTTTTATATAAAAAAATTATCGGGTTATCGTTTCGGTATTGGTTTTCAATATTGGGTTATTGGGTAAACCGATAACCCTTTAAGAGTTAAGACTATTGTAATTTACTACTTTTACATATACATACATATTAGTAAATATTAATCTCAATATCTTAATAGTTATGTCTTTGTCATTTAGCCATCAATTCATACTTCGTTGTGACTTTGAATTCACAACTTTACATTATACAAATCGTCAAAACCTAAAGTAAGAACCATATTCCTCTTGATTTCTCTTTGTCTTACACATGTATAGTTCTTTTCATGTTTGTTATTAATATTTCTATTTTATGAGCTTTTGTAAAGCTACATTATTGTCTTGTCGTGTCAAATTTATTAGAGAAACCATATATTTATTTTATAAGCATTTTCTTATTGGTTAAACCGAAAACCGAATCGTTAAGGATCAAACGATAAAAAAATATCTTATTGGTTTAGCGTATTTAAAATCAAAAACCGATAAACCGAATCGATAATACATAAAACCGAACCGAACCGATCGATGCACACCCCTAGGCTTAAGTCATTCACATCCACTTAAAGTTGTCTGTATATTTCACTTTGACACCTCAACTAAGAGGTGTTCCTATTGAACACCTTTCTTGTTCAAAACATGTACCTATTAAATATTTCTTGATGATGTGGCATCATAGGTGTAGTACACACCTGAGAAGCGCGTGAAACCAACACAATTTACTCACAAGCCAATCACAAAATTACATGTCAACATTTAAAAATGGAGCAAAAATCTTAGCATAAAAAAAAAAATCCCTAACATCATCTTCTTCCCCAATTCCAGTATCGTCCAGTATCTTCTTCCCATTTCCTCACTGCCTAAATCCTTTTGTCATCGTCCCTGCCATACCTCTTTCTATATTCTTTTATTTTCTTTTTTTACTATTATTTTACCATCACCAATATCGTCTTCGTAATCTTAGTCGGAATTAAACAAATGGCCGTCAAAATAGAAAAATTCAAAAGAGTTGACTGATACAAAACAGAAAAATTCTAACCTTATAATATGTAGAAAAAATTGAAAGAGTTAAAGCTGTAGAAGGGAATATAATAAAAGAAAATAAAAATCAGATTGGGTCGAAAAAATCCGGTGAACCTCCATTTTTTCCGACAAGAGTAATACAAAGTTGAATTTATTGTCTTTGAATTTTTTAAAGAATTCAAACCATAAAGAACCCACAGTACAAAAACATATCAACAAATGTTTGAGGAAGAGAATGAGACCGAAGAAATGGCAGCTATGATATTGATGAAAATCGCCCAATGGGAATAAAAGGAAGATCGGGGGTAGGTAGCAGTTATGGTATTGATGACAAAAATATAGGGTGGATACTCGTCCCTCGTGATCGGACTATGATTGTAGATGGACTGTGGTGGGCGACTATTTCTGCCGCGAGGGTTTTGGGTGGGTGGGTTGGGTAGGGTTAATTTTTGTTTTTCTATTATTTTTTAACTTTAAAATATTTTCTTAAAAGATATTTTTAAACAATATTTTGAAACTAAATGACATGTCATAATTTAATTTGTCATTGTGCCATGTCACTGCGAGTGTATCTCACACGCTTTAAAATTTTGGTTGATTGTCAAAAAAATATCAAATAGGTATCAATTCGAGGTGGTAGAGGTGTTCAATAGGTACAAGCCTAAGTTTAGGTGTTCAAGTGAATTATGCGGACAACTTTAAGGGACCATCGATGACTTAAGGCACGCACACACGCATGCATTCATACATACATATACTCTAGGCATAATGTATAAACATGACCCTTAACTTGTCGTCAGCTGGCAACTATGACCTTTAACTTTGGGTGTGCACAAGTAGACACTTAAACTTGTATAAAATTGAACAAATAGATATATTCGTCCTACATGGCACCCTACATGGAAATTTTGTATCCTACTTGGCGTCATATGTGTATTATTCTATGTAGGACACATGTGTCTACTTGTTCAATTTTATACAAATTTAAGTGTCTACTTGTGCACACTCAAAGTTGGAGGTCATAGTTGTCCACTGAAGCCATGTTAATGGTCATGTTTATGTATTATGTCTATACTCTATTGTGTATTTAGTAAAAAGACATAAAATGACACTTGAAGTTATCCTGAATTTTTAAAAAGACACCTAAAGTTTGCGGGCGTCCTATCACCCCATGGAATTATTTCAAATCACAATAAATAAATACTTTTGATCCATTTTCACAATAAATGTGTTCACACATTTGATAGGCGCGTGGAGGAGTAAAAATACACCCCCAAACCAGTGTACAACATGTGGCACTGACAATTTGAATTTTCTTCTTTATTCAAAGACCCACTTCCCATCTTCTACAAAAGCTCCATTGATATGTGTTGAAGAGCTTTCCATCTACACCCAAAAAAAAATCTCCATCCTCAATGAAATTTTCATCTAGCTTTACTAGCTTCAATTTATTCTTTTTTTTTAATCTTATTAAAAGGTTATGCGATCAATTAATTTGTAAATCCTGAAAGTGCAATTGCAAACAAAATTCAAAACTAAATCAGTGAATAAACATTCAAACTCAAATCAGTCCTAAACTAACACTACATACACATGAATAATAGATAACACAAGAAGAAAATAACAACAAATCACTATAAAGATGATTTTTCAAAAAATCACAATATAAAGGAACATTTTTTAAACCAAAATTTGCATTCAAATCAAGAAGCAATTATCATGTGAGCCTTCACTTCTTCGTTTTGACTCCAAAATTCAACAAATTATCACCGCAAAATAAATTTATTGTGACTTGAAATACTTTAGGGTTTTGATCATCAAAGAGAGAGAGTAGAGTGAAAATTTGAAAGGGATTTAAGGTTTAAATGGATCAAGAAGGTCATGATTAAAATGTGAATGGGTTAAGATTTTATCCAATTTTTACTAAATGGTTGGAAAAAATATGTAATTATATTATTAATTGGGGTGAAACTCACGCTCAAGCATTGAGAATGTAGATTGTGTAAAAAGTGTGTATTTATTGTGATTTTAAAATGTTTTGTGGGGTAATAGGATGCCCGCAAAGTTAAGGTGTCTTTTTGAAAATTTGGGGACAACTTCAGGTATCAATTTATGTCTTTTCTCAAGTGTATTACTAATACCATGATTTTTTGTGCATTAGTAATGCAATGGGTTCTAATGCATGCATTAACATGGTTAAAGACACAATTGTACCTGAAAAATATTTCCACGTCCTCTCTACTATATTTGTGGAGGGTATTTTTGTAAACAAATATTTTTTTTAAAAAAAATTATGCAATGCATGGTATGTTAGTACATCAAATCAAATACTACATAAGAAAAATCTCAGCATTACTGATGCAAGCATAACTAATACAATCATTATTAATGCACTATATTGTGCATTATTCTTATACACTCTACCAAACGACCCCTTATAGTATTATTGTACTATTTTCATGCTTTCGTTTGACTCGATGTAGAAGACTCTTGAATTTTATTTGGTTAATGTTTAGTGTGTTGACAAGAACTCAAATTTTTTGTATCATATCTGTATTTCTTTTTTCATCTACAATATATATTGTTATGAAGCAAATCTTAAGAAAAATGTGTATGTTGTATGTTACTTCTCTATTTTTTTTTGTATGTGTTCTCTCTATTAGACTTGTTTAATTTATTTATTTTTACAAAATTTCTATTTTAATTGAGTTAAAAAAAAAATTGTTCAAATTCTTGAACTTTAAAGTATTTATATTATTTAACATGACGGGTTCGAGAATTAGTGTATATATATATATATTAATTGCTTAATCCTATTCAATACAAATTATTTAATTGATTTTAATTATGGAAAAATTACAAGGATATTCTATTTAAGACCTTAATTTACATAATATTATTCTAGTATTATATTTACAACATTAACATTTTAATTACAAACATGACAATTTATTATAAAATAAATAGCTACTGATGAAGACCTATTTTACTGGTTAGTGGACTAATTTTATGGGACTCATATTTCACCTTTTGCTTTATTTACTTTTTAGAATCTCAATTATAATTATATTTGAATACGTTCCTTTAATAAATATCTCACTTTCTTTCCCTTGTTAACCAGAAGGATTACCAACAGTGATGCACTCTTTTTTCCCTCTTTTTCAATGTCATCTTTATCAAGAAAAAAAAAAATTCCTTTGAAGATATTCACTATGAATCATAAAAACAATAGAGTTGGAGAAGATGAAAGTGTATTTTTAATTTCATTCTTGAAGAAGTGATACAATGACTAAATTCTATGTATTTATATTCTACTTAACTAACTTACTTACCTAACAATTTGGTAACTACCTTCTAACTAACTTCTTGAAGTATTCCTAACTAACTCTCAATACTCTCCTTCTTTTAAACTATCTCATTACTCCCCCTCAAGCTAGGTGGTGTAAATATATTTAATACCCCTAGCTTGGACAGTAGACAGTCATGTTGTGGCCTGCTGAGACCTTTGGTTAGCAAATCAGCCGGCTGATTATGTGTTGAAATATAAGTAATCTTAATCAGCCCTTCTTGAAGTTTTTCCCTGATGAAATGACAATCAATCTCAATGTGCTTAGTACGTTCATGATAGACTGGATTAGAGGCCAATAGAATAGCAGACTTGCTGTCACTATACACTTGAACTGGTAACTGAACCTCAACCTTTAATTCTTTCAGCATTCCAACCAACCAAACTAACTCTGCCACAGTAGAAGCTAAACTCCTATACTCAGCTTCAGCTGAGCTTCTTGACACAACGTTTGCTTCTTAGCTTTCCAAGACACCACAGACTCTCCAAGTTTAATCACATATCCAGTCACAGATTTCCTTGTAAGAGGACATGCTGCCCAATCTGCATCACAATAAGCTATAATTTCATTACTACACTTGCTAGATAGAAGTATACCTTGACCTGGCTGTCTTTTAATGTATTTGACAACTCTAAGTGCTGCATCCATATGTGACTTCTTTGGTTGATGTAGGAACTGACTTAAAGTTTGAACACTAAAAGAGATGTCTGGTCTGGTCATATTTAAATATAGCAGCTTCCCAATCAGTTTTTGATAGGCACTTTGATCTGCTAGAGGCTCATTCTGATTCTGTCCAGTTTGATCATCATATTGCTTTGATGTCAACTTTACATTTACATCCATAGGTGTTCCTGTAGTCTTTGCTCCTGATAAACCAACTTCAGAAATAAGTTGAAGTGCATACTTCCTTTGATGCATGACAACTCCACTGTTTGACCTTACAAACTCTATCCCAAGAAAGTATTTCAACTCTCCTAGATCTTTCATTTTAAAACTTTGTTGTAAGGACTTTTTTGTTTCCTCCACCAGCTTTAAACTACTTCCTGTTATTAAAATATCATCAACATAAACCAAGATAATTGTAGTCCCTTCAGTTGTCCTCCTTGTAAACAAGTAGTGATCATACTGACTTTGTTTGAAATGCAGCTTCTGGAGGCTTTCTGCAAACTTATGATTCCATTGTCTTGGTGCTTGTTTAAGCCCATACAATGATTTTTCCAATCTGCATACCTTATTCATATTCTCCCCCTGATTGGAAAACCCTTGTGGCAGAGACATATATATCTCATCTTCTAAATCACCATTTAGAAATGCATTATATACATCCATTTGATGTATATGCCAACTCTTGGACACAGCTAAGGCTAGAATGGTTCTTACTGTGACCATTTTTACTACAGGAGAAAAAGTTTCTTTATAATCTATGCCCTCTTTACTAACTTCCCTCACATTGCCAGTGTAAAGCTCCTGAAACACACAAAAATGAGGAAAGAAAGTGACTGAGCAATTTAACTCCTTAGTCACCTTACTCACTGATAGCAAGTTGTACTTGAACTCTGGTATGTGATAAACATTTGTAATCACACTTCTTGGAGATATTTTACATAATCCTGTATGCGACACATATGACACTTCCCCAGTAGGTAAATATACAGGTTTTGGCTCTTTAACCTTAATAACAGAATCACTAGTAAGCATATCCAAATTTGACACCATATGATTAGATGCCCCAGTATCTACAATCCAGACCTGACTATTTTCAGAAACTAACAAGACTTTACCTGCAGTATTAGCCTGAGTTTCATGTGCATGGCTTGAATCTTCTGAATTTTGTCCACCTCCTTGACTCTGTTTCAGCATTTGGAGAATTTGACTATACTGATCTTTGGTGAAATTACACCCTTGTAATTGGTTTGAACATTCCTCTATATTACTCATATGATTTTTCACAGGTACATTAGTGTTACCTCCATAATTGAAAGAAACTCTACCAGACACATCCTCATAATCATTCCTTGTGCTGTTAACATCATTTCCAACCATGTAAGCTCCAGTTCCTGTACTAGTATTCACTTTCCTTTTTGACTTGAAATCAGATGGATACCCAATTAGCTTATAACACTGATCCTTAGTGTGTCCCTTGCATCTGCAAAAATCACACACCACTTGAAAGTTCCTCTTGAACTTGTTAACACCTTGGGAACTAGAGCCTCCACCAGTTCTTGAGTACATTGCCAGAGGGTCCATTCCAGTACTACCCATAGAACTTAGGCCTATACTCGACCTACTTGAGGCCATCTTTTGACATTCGTCGTTTACTACCATAGCATAGGCATGATTTACTGTAGGAATAGGATTCATCAGCAAGATCTGACTTCTTGCTTGTCCAAATGACTCATTCAATCCCATCAGGAACTGATACAATTTCTGGCGATTTAGATGATCCACAAAACCTCTTGACTTTTCACAATTACATCCAGGAGGTGGTACCAAAGTCTCAAATTCATCCCATAATGTTTTTAGCTTTGTAAAGTATACAGACACAGAATCTGTACCCTGTTGCAACGTTGCAATATCTTTGTGTAGACTGAAGGTTCTTGATCCATCTAATTGATCAAACCTTTCTTTTAAGTCATTCCACACAGCTTGAGCTGATGATGCAAAAGCTACTCCTCCTAGCAAACTCTTTGACACAGAATTTAGAAGCCATGAGAGAACAATGGCATTCACCCTTTCCCACTGACCTCTTAATTCTGCACTTACATCTTCTTGCTTACAAGATCCATCTACCAAACCAATCTTGTTTCTTCCAAGTAGTGCCAATTTAATCGACCTACTCCACAAAGCATAGTTCTCAATTCCAGTAAGCTGGAATGAAATCAGATTAACCCCACTGATATCAGCAGGACTCAAGAACAGAGGATGACTATAATCAACCCGGTCAGCTGTCTTGATGAAGATTGACTGACGACAAGAAACTTGGATGAAGATTGATGAAGATTGACATAACTGGAATGAAACTTGGATTTCCAGAATTTCCCTCAACACTGCTGTGTCCAGCAGTCGTAGTTTGATCCCCAGTTACCCCTTGAGTCATGTTAACAATCTTCCTTCTTCTTCAAATTGAGTTGTGGAAACTTAACTCAGATTCTGATCTTCAGACTTTCAAACAGAATACACAGATGAACACTTCTTCAGATTTTGATCTTCAGATGTTACACACAGATGATTTCCTTCGATGTTTATAACCTGCTCTGATACCATGAAGATATTCACTATGAATCATAAAACAATAGAGTTGGAGAAGATGAAAGTGTATTTTAATTTCATTCTTGAAGAAGTGATACAATGACTAAATTCTATGTATTTATATTCTACTTAACTAACTTACTTACCTAACAATTTGGTAACTACCTTCTAACTAACTTCTTGAAGTATTCCTAACTAACTCTCAATACTCTCCTTTTAAACTATCTCATTATCCTTCTTGAAAATATCCCTTAACAAATTTCTTTCATTTATTTTGTTTGTTTTCAAAATCATTGCTAACAACACAAAAAAAATTATTTATGAACGGAAAATCCTCTCAATGTTACCCCAAATAGATAAAACGAGGGGAAAGGAGAAGAAAGTTACAAGTGTTGTTATGAAGAATATTTTGCGACCGCAAATTTTGTGTTGCCAATAATTATGGTGTCCTTGTTTGTTTAGGAATATGAATTGTTGACATATAGATGTGTTAATATTATGATGTATTGACGTGATACTAAATGTTATAATGACAATAATTGTAATATCTAATTTGTTAATACATTGGGCGATGGTGAAATATGAATCTGTTAATATTACAGAGTTGAATTGTGAAAATGAATTAGTGTATTTATGTAATTTTGGTGTCTTTCTTGTTAATAATTTATCTATTTTAATATATGAAGGTGTTGATATTGTATGAATGTGGTAGTGTGTGTTGGTATTTTTTGTGGTTATTTGTTTATTAATTAATTAATATGGTATGATGAATTGTGGAGGCATTGTTGTTATGATATTAACTGTGATATTGAATTATTATGTTGGTGATTTTTGTGATTTCCTGTTAATAATTAATATGTTGTTTTGAGTTGGGGAGATGTATATATTATGGTGTAGAACAGTGAAAGTGAATGTATGTATTCTTTGTTTTAGTGAGAATATTAATAAGTATTTTATACCATTAAATTGCCCCATAAAAAATCTTCAGTAATTTGATTTTTTTAATATCATGTGTTAATCTAACAACATAACTCAATAAATGCAAATAAATATCACAAATTTATACCATATTTTTAATAAATATTCAACCATTTAATATACAAACATTTATACCAACCAACAATTATTATAGTAATTTATACCTTTAAATATACCAATATAGATGAAACCATTTTAACATTAAATTTTGATAATTAAGAAATCATTTTATACCATGAAGAAATTCAACTTTTTCACGATGGTTTGACAATATGGAAGGTATAACCTTACCATTTTGAATTAGTACGCATTTTTGAAATAGGTATAATTTGATATATTTAAATTGAAATATAAAACTATTTTAATAGTAAAATGTAATTTTATACCATTAAATGTCCGATAGTAATTTTTAGGTAATTCTATTTTCAAGAGAATTATAGCATGTGTTAATCTAACAATATAACTCATATATACCAATAAATATCACAAATTTATACTGTATTTTTAACCAATGTTAAATCATTTAATATAGGGATAAGGGTCTGAAAAATATCCCAACTTTGGTCAGATTTGCTGTTGCGATACTAAACTTTCATAAGGACCTATTACCTCCCTAGACTATTTAATACCGTATTTTTACCCCATGAACTATTTAATAGTGTATTTTAAAGGTACATATGTGCCCACGTGGACAGATTACTATTTATAATTTTGCATTATTTTTTATTGTCCACGTGGACAAATATATATGTTTAAATACGATATTAAATAGTCTAGGGAGGTAATAGGTCCTCATGAAAGTTTAGTATCGCAACAGCAAATCCGACCAAAGTTGGGGTATTTTTCAAACCCTTATCCCTTTAATATACAAATATTTGAACCAACTATAAAACCAATTCTATTCTCTGGCTTCTCATACAACTTTTCTGTCCCTTTACCACCACCCAAATTCTCTAAAACCTAATCTCCCTACGAACATTGCCTAGTTATAACCAAGGCCGACTCAACAACATTAGGGGCCTAAAGCGAAACTTAAGAGAGGGGCCCTAATATTTTATTTTTTTCATCATATATACTTTTATTTAAAATCTACTTTTCAAGCTATTTTAGATGCAAAGTCATTAGGTACTGTTTTATAATCAATTTGTTTTAATAATTCCTTTTCAAATGATAATATAGCCAAATCATTCGATCTCTCTTGAGACATCGTGATCTTAAAGAAGATTTAATCAATTTTAATTTCGAAAAAATTTAAAAAATAAATCTAAACCATCAATATCAGAATAACTATTACATGTTAAAGAAAATTCAAGGTTAAAACAATATTTTTTAAATTCTCAACATCTAGTGATCTCAATATTTTACCACTAAATAAGAAATCAAAAATATTTTTCATATGCTTCAATTGGTTCAAATCTATTTTGAAGTGAAAAAATAGTTTGATCTACTCTATATATATAAAGCAATCAACTCTAAAAGATTCTTCGAGGGACTTTGTGATTTCGATATCCATATTTTCATCAAAGTGTTTCTTACGAAATTCAGGTTTATTTTCATCTCATATGCAATTTCAAATCATAACACTCATAGTATATATAAACTTTTTTTAAAAAATAACATATATAAGTAATTGTTTTTTTAAAATGGGTCCCCTAAAATATATGGGGCCCCAAGCGATGGCTTTAGTGGCCTAGGGGTTAAGACGGTCCGCCTATAACTATGAGAAAGTTAAGTTTGCAGATTTGGTGAAGCCCAATGTTCTCTCAGGAGAGTACAAATTGAGCCGATTCCTATAAAGTCAGCAGCTACATACATTAATGGAGTTCCGAGAATTACGTGGACAGAGGAAGAAGTGCACAAGTTGAACATTATGGAGGGGCTTCTGAGAAACAGATTTATTTTGATGAGATTTAGCTTAATGGAAGATTTTGTAAATATGATGGCCAAAATGCTCACTACATTGTGGTATTGCTTACCAAATGAGGCCTTTCATATATGATGCAAGATTCAAATACGCAAGCAATGGCTTGGATTTCTTTCCCTGACCAAACAAATAAGACTAGGCCTAGTTGTGCGAGAGTGAAGGTGCAAGTGGACTTGGCAGCAAATTTACCTTCTCAAGTGGTGAATAGCAACACAAATTTCACTACAAGAATAGAGACCATCAAGATACAACAATTAGGGGATAAGGGAAACATAATAACGAGTCAAAAATATTTAATATCCTTACTACTTGGCCCATGTATGAAATTAACTAAGTAAAAAGGTTTTCATGAAAATAATATTAGGGCAGGATTGCTACAGGGGTACGGTTGTTTTCCTGGCCGTAAGCACTTCAAAATTCTTTAAATTTGCATATCCTGTAATAGTAAAATAGTATTTCGCTTATCATAGAATTAGTGATTTGATTTTCTTTTCTTGTGTTAGTACTATTGGGATGGGTTGGTCAGATTAGGTGGAAAGAAAGTTAATGGATTAAGTAATGAAGCGATATGAGTGACTAAAACCTTTAGGAGTAATTAATGCATGTGATCGATTTCCTTGGAATGAATATGCAGCGACGTGTTGATTTTTTTTAATTTGCAAGAAATGGAAAGTGGAACAAATCTGCAAAGTCACAACCTTCTTTGGACTAGAATAGGAAGAAAAAAAATTGAGGATAATTATTGAAAAATGATCTCAAGTATTTGATGATTAGAAAATGCTCCCTCGAGTTATATACTGCATAAGAATTTAAAACATTAGGTGTGTTGCATTATAAATGTTACTAGAATTATGTTATTTGGTAGGACTAAGACTTAACCCTAGGCTTGAAATTTAGCAAATATGATTTTGACATATAATTTATATAAAAAATTATGAGCTTGATTAGAGATATGAGTGAGTTTTTGGGTCTAGGATAGACATAAAAATATATGGGTGTCCACGAACTCGCGTGCTTACAATTATTACATAATTGGTAGATTGGGAACGTTCTGAAGCTCTGCGAAAAGGGAAGGAAAAATCTCGAGGATTTGTGGCACGTGTTCGGCAGTTAAGGTATGTTAAGACTTTCAGACTTCATTGAAGTTAAAAATGAAATAGACCATGGGTAAGGGCGAAAGATGAGGGTCTCGTACCAATGGTGTGACGGGCATTGGTACGAGTACCGGTGTTATAAAGGGAAAGTTTATTACTATAGTAAGCGGATTGTAATCCGAGAATGCCAAAGCATATGGGCATTAGCTGATGTATTATTGACTTGAATTCATTGTGTGATTGTGTTCTTATTTAAACTCGTATATTTGTAATAGTTGAGGTGGTTATGTACTATGTTGATATTTGATTGATTGAGATGCACCATCATCCCTTTTATTTGAAATCACATTGTGCACATGCATTGATATGAAATTCAGTATAAGTTGGGCACGTGGAGATCGTCCGTGCTGGGGATGGTGAGATGTTAAGATTATAATTTTGGGCACGTGAAGATCGTTCATGCGGAAATTATTTGATTTTATGATAGTGCGTTGAGATCGTAAGCACAGACACGTGGAGATCGTCTATGTCTGTATATGGACCTCGCGAGTCCCTCATGGGTCATGAACCCTCGATGTATTTCTGATGAGTATCATGTATATACGGTTGAGAAAGTACTTGGCATATAAGGCATATCATTTCATGGTGTCACATTGCATTGCATCTCATTATATCATATATTCTTGTGGATTATGTGCTTTATTGGTGGTTGTACATTACGTGAAGTTAACATTTGATGAATTTGACTTGTAAGTAAAATATAGATTTGTGTAAGTAAAGGAATGGTTTTCTTATATAAACTTCGGTCACTACTTCTTCATTGTCGATCTATGAGATATATTGGGTACACGTGGTTTCGTACTCATATTAAACTCATGTCACTACTTCTTCGTTGTCGATCTATGAGATATATTGGGTACACGTGGTTTCGTACTCATACTACACTTATTGCACTCTTTTGTGGTGCAGATTTGATTTCGAGTACGAGCACATCTCGTGAAGCTTTTTGAGTCCGAGCTTGGAGTATCTTGGAGTTGTGGTGAGCTGCTTGGCTGTTCCGTGGCCCACACCTCCCTCTATCTTTTATTTATTCTGTTATTTTATTATTCAAACAGGATATCTCTTATGTTTAGATTTATCATTTTAGTTTCAGACTTGCATCGTATTTTAGAAGCTCTTGTACTTATGACACCAATTTCTTGGATAGTATTTTAGCTTTCCACGTGTCGTATTTATAAAAAAACTTTATGTTGGAGATTTTACTCGTTTACCTTTTTACCTCATTAGTTAATTAAAATTGGTAAATATGTTGGGTTGGCTTATCTATTGGTTGAGAACATAGGTGCCCTCACGACTTGTGAATTTGAGTCGTGACAAAATAATTCTAGTAGGAAACATTTTCCTCTTTAATAGACCTTTAACTTATAGGACGCAATTTAAATTAGTCAAGAATCCTATGCAGGTATAGGATACCGCCATATCGGACAAGAATTTTTTTTTTATCTCAAAAGGAAAAGAAACAACAATATTCAAGTAAATATAGTAAAAGGGATTGAACAAATTATAAATTATTATCTCTCTCTATATATATATATATCGCTAGTCTTTTATTTTCAAGTGACAATGAATCTGTTAAATGAAAATGTTGCCTTCACCACCCAATGTATTATTGAAAAAATTATATGTTTCTTTTGAGCAATCCAAATGATATCTCAAAGAAAAAATAGAAATACTTTAATCTTGTCCATATTATCAATAATTTAAATGTTTGGGAATAATTCAAACAAATGGGGTAGGTTGTTTTGGTGGGAAGCTGGGGGGGGTATTTTAGCTTTCCACATTTCGTATTTATGAAGAACTTAGTGTTGGAGATATTTACTTATTGTTTACCTTTTTACCTCACTATTTAGTTAAATTGATAAAATTATGGGGTTGGCTTACCTATCGATTGGCAACATAGATGACCATCACGACTTGTAGAATTGGGTCGTGACACATGCTTCCTAAATATTGCAATACTTGTAAACTCCAGGGACATGGTGAAGCAGAATGTAGACAACTCCATCCAGAATTGAGGGTACAAGTTTTGATTAATAATCAAGAAGGATATAAAAGTGATAAAGAAGATAAGGATGCTAGTAACAAAGTTAATGAAAATACAAGAGGGAGGATGAATACTCAAATATGGCACCCTACTAACAGGAGGTTCACAATGGAGAAGAACACATGCAAGTTTATAAGTGATACAACTACAGAGGCATCCCCTAAAAATAATAGCATTAATACAAAGAATTCTTATGAGACTCTACGAGATGAGGAGAAAGGGTCAGGGGAGACAGTGGGTCAGAATAATATAGGTCATCGGAGTGAAGGGCAGCACAATGAGGAACCAAAATTACAAGCAGCACAAAGCACAACAAATCAGCCAAGCACACCGCAGTCTTCACAGTCTCTGAAAGGAGAACAACAACAACATGATATCTATTACCAGACCGTACATCAAAGACCTCAGCCTGATGAAATAAGGGAGAATTCAATGTTAGAAGGCAATGACACTAAGAAAGTACCTAATAATGAATTTAGTGATATAGGTGTGGGTCGTGCAGGTGTCAGATCTGGTGAAGATCTTAATCACTCATATGCTGAAATTGAAGGTCATGAGGTAGAGAAAGCTCTTGCGTTGGCTAAATTCCAAGAACCTCTTCAAATGATTGATGTTGATGTTGATGTTGAGCTTGGAAGGGTAGAAAGGTTCCCTCCAAAATCACCTGAGTTATTATTGCTTGAACCAAGTAGTGAGATTAATGCAATTGTTGAAGCTACAGAAAAACATTTAATTTTAGAGAAAAAACAGAATTCTCCTATGCAGGATCTACACAATGTTATTACTCATCAGATTACAGAGGAGGCAGAGGAAGGAGAACTATCTAGTCAGACAGAAGGTGATATTGTGGTGGATAAGGAAGAAGAAAATAATCAGCATAATCTTAATCAGATGTTAAAAAATGCTGATCTATCCCCTCAGACAAATACCAAAGGAAGAAAAGGAAAGACTAAGGCTGACTGTAAGCCTACAAGGATAGTCCCTAAGAGGAGTAGAAAAGCTAACTCTAGGTGAAGATAAAAGCATTATTTTGGAACATACGGTCTGTTAAATCTCAACATTCCTTTCATAGAGACATCACAAATTTTCATTAAGTGCTTTGATGGAACCATTTCAAGCTTCAAGACATATACAATGGTACAAGAGAAAATTAGGCATGCCCTATGCGAATTACAACCAAAATGGGAAGATATGGGTATTTGTTCAAGAACATATTCAGGTGACGGTCTTGGCAAATTCAGAGCAACAGTTAACTCTTTAACTAAAGTTTCAAGATGGACAACAATTGGTTACTACTATTGTTTATGCTAAGTGTGATGCAATTGATAAACTCAATTTGTGGGATGATATTTATCTGCTAAGTCAAAATATGAGACTTCCATGGCTTGTTGCTGGTGACTTTAATGTTATCATGAGTGACGAAGAGAAGATTGGAGGACTTCCTGTCTATCCAAATGAGTATGAAGATTTTGCTTTTTGTATTAATTCATATGAGCTAATTGATATTAATTTTAAAGGAAGTCCTTTTACTTGGTAGAATGGGAGAGCTGATGATGCTTGTATTTTTAAAAGATTGGACAGGCTAGTGATTAATCAAGCTTGTCTTGGTCTTATGGGGTGTGTAGAAATGGAGCACCTAGCTAAAACTGGTTCTGATCATTGCCCTTTGTTATTGTCTTGTGGAGGGCAAAGTGAACAGTTTCTTAGACCTTTCAGGTTTTTGAAATTTTGGGCAGAAAAAGATGATTTCATGGATGTGGTCAAACAAAATTGGATTGCAGTTGATTCTGAAGATATATTTATTAGTTTAAAGCAAAAAATGAGAAAGACCAAGATAGATTTGGCTACATGGAGTAGGACGAGGTTTGGAGATATCTTCAAGCAATTGAAGATAAGGGAGGATATAGTTAGAATCAAAGAGGATCTGTTTGAAGAGCTACCCATCGATGAAAATAGATCTGTTCTCCAAAAGGCTCAGGCTGAGCTTAAGAAATATCTTCACTATGAAGAAGAGTTTTGGAGGCAAAAAGTTGGAATTCTGTGGTTTACAGATGGGGATAGGAATACCAAGCTTTTTTTACAGCTTGGTAAACGGGAGAAGGAAGAGGATGGCAATTAACAAGATTCAAAGAAGAAATGGGACATGGGCTGAGGGTAATGAACAAATAGCACAGGAGGCCATTGCATTCTATCAGGAGCAATTTACAAGGGGTTCTACTGCTTGTGAGATGAACTTAATTGATCATATTCCTTGTTGTATTACTGATGAAGACAATTCATTGTTGAAGGAGTTACCTACGTACTGAAGTTGAAATCAAGAATGTAGTTTTTCAACTCAATAGGGATGGTGCAAGCGGTCCGGATGGGTTCACTGGTCATTTTTACCAATCCTGCTGGGAAATTGTTGGTGGGGATGTTATTAAGGTTGTGCATGCCTTTTTTGGAGGTGCTACTCTTTCAAAACCCATTACTCATACTAATTTGGTCCTATTGCCAAAAAAAGAAAATGTGGTATCTTTTTCTGATCTGAGACCTATTAGTTTAAGTAACTTCTTAAATAAGATTATTTCAAGACTTATCCATGACAGGCTTGAAGGTTTTCTACCTAAGATCATTTCACAGAATCAATCTAGATTTGTGAAAGGAAGATATCACTGAGAACGTGTTGTTTGCCCAGGAGATTATTACTGATATTAGAAAGAGAGGCAAACCTGCAAATGTGGTAATCAAACCTGATATGGACAAAGCGTATGATAGAGTGGACTGGAATTTTCTAGTCAAGGTTCTGGAGAAGATGGGGTTTACTAGTTTGATTATCGACAAGATATGGAGATTGGTCGCTAATAATTGATACTCTGTATTAATTAATGGACAAGCTCAAGGATTTTTTTCATTCAACAAGAGGAGTGAAGCAAGGAGATCCTCTATCTCCAGCTCTTTTCATTTTAACTGCAGAAATTTTATCCAGGTCCCTTACCAATTTATTCCATCATTCTGATTTCAGGGGATTTGGGATGCCTAAGTGGAGTGAAAATATCAATCATCTTGCTTATGCAGATGATACAATTATATTTGTTGATGCTGATAGGATATCTTTACAGATGATCATGAAGTTACTCGATGATTATGAGAAGCAGTCTGGACAAAAGATTAATAAGGAGAAAAGTGTTTTCTTTGTATTTAACAAAGTTGCACATGTTGACATAGCACTGGTTTTGCTAGAAGAAAATTTCCTTTGACATACTTAGGATGTCCGATTGGGCATGCTAGGAAAAGGAAATCTCACTTCTCAAAGCTAATGAAGAAAGTACAGAATAAGTTACAAGCATGGAAAGGAAAGTTGTTATCGTTTGGTGGTAAGGCTGTATTGATAAATAATGTATTGTAAAGCATCCCTATTTATCAGCTTTCAGCTATTATTCCTCCTAAATGTGTTATTCAAGATTTACATAGAATCTTTGCTAAATTTCTATGGAATTTCAAAGAGAATGGAAGAAATAAACATTGGATATCCTGGCCAGATATTTGCTTTCCAAAGAATGAAGGGGGTTTAGGTTTCAAGTCCTTATTTGATGTTGCAAAAGCATTATATGCTAAGTTGTGGTGGATATTCAGAACTAAAAAAACTATGTGGACCAACTTCATGTGGAAAAAGTATTGCAAGAGGCATTGTCCCCAGGTGGTGGAATGGAGAGGGGGATCTCAACTGTGGAAGCATATGTTACTAGCTCGGGATGATATCGATCAACAAATATGGTGGGAACCAAGATGTGGTAACTCCAATATATGGTTTGATAATTGGACCCAATTGGGTGCTCTATATTATTATTTACCTGTGAATTACTCTATTAACATTTATGAGGAGGATGTGTCTCAACTAATGCTTCCGGGAAGGTGGAATGAGGATTTAGTACAACAACTATTTCCAGATGAGGTATGCAATCACATTATCAGAAAAATTGGAGTAGTGGAGGATTCAGAAGAATGGGATAGGTCAAGGTGGATGTTGCAAAGTTCAGGAAAATTTTCAATGAATAGTGCTTGAAATTTTCTTAGAATCCCAGGAACAGTACAAGAGGAGTACAATTGTATATGGGAAAGAGGTATTCCATTTAAAGTTTCATTCTTTATATGGAGACTATGGAAAAAGAGACTTCCTATTGGAGAGTTTCTGGTTAGAGTTGGGATTTCAGATGATGTGAGATGTTGTTGTGATACTCTATCCCATGAAACTTTTGGGCATCTGTTTTTTGTTTGTCCAATAGCTATCAGGTTATGGACTTCTTATGCAGCAGTAGCAGGGTTGCAGGGTCTTTTTTTAAATCTCAAGGACACAATTATTAAATGGTGGAAAACTCAATGTGTTGATAAGCTCAAGCCACTATATAGGGTTGTTCCTGCCTTTATACTATGGCAAATCTGGAAAAGGAGGAACAATCTTAAACATGATTGCCAGATGTCTGTGTATTGTATGGAGATGGAAATTAATAGAAATATTCATTGTCTGGCAATTAGTAGGTATCCCTGGTTGAGAAACCTACCTACTACTTGGCCTAAGATAGTGAAATTTTTTGAATCATAAACACCTATCATTGAACATAATATTGTCCAGTGGAAGTTCCCTAATGAAGGTGTTTATAAATGCAATTCTGATGGTGCTTTGAAAGGGAACCCAGGGCCTAGTGCATGTGCTTTTTGCATTAGGAATAATAGAGGAGAGTTCGTCTATGCTGAATCTAAAGGACTGGGAATTATGTCTAGTTTGGAGGCTAAGACTATTGCATTGAGAAATGCGTTGGAATACTGCATTTTGCATGATTTGTTGCCCGTGATTTTAGAAACAGATTCTCTTATTTTGAAGAAGATACTTGATGGAATTTGGGATGTACCTTGGTACATTGTCATGGAAGTGAAAAAGATTAATAGTTTGAAGGATAGAAAGGAAGTGGAAATTGAGCATACATTCAGGGAAGTCAACATGGTAGCAAACTATTTTACTAATCAATTTTTCTGTTTTGTAGATATATCGGGCATGACGTATGGTTCATTATTAGACGTTTCAAATGAAGGGAGAGCACTACTACACATGGATAGAAATCAAATTCCTAATCTCAGGCTGACAAAATGTCAAAATAGGAATTTCATGGTGTAAGCAGCAGGGTACAACACGCAGATATAAAGCAAGGCAATACATAAACATGGGATATAAGGGCACAAAAAAATCTTTGAAGTAAAAGATAGATATATTCTTACCTGAATGTTCCTACAAGCTATGTTGAGTTAGAAATAGACTGGCCATTTCTTGATCTCAAGTAGTGGTTATTAGCTCAACCTGCTGTGAAATAGAAATGTCAAGAAAGTTTCAGCTCAATATTGTTTATTATGGTTCAAGAGAATGGAGGTGGTTTCTTATCTTTGTGTGGATGGCCATGAATAGCATGGTAGAGTTGAATATGTCTTCTATTAGAATAAATTACATGGCATTCGTGAGACTTGTGAATGTTGAAGGTGAAATTTATCCAAACTCTACCCTCTCATATCTTGGTTCTATAAATACAAGAATAAGCAAGGACTACTCATTCACGCTAGTTTATGGAGGTGAGGTGTAGATGATGAAGAGACAAAGTTTATTGGTCGGAAACACAAAATTTCGTTTCTGGGTTGACGAACAAGCAACAATCGAGGATAAAAAAGTGTTTCATAGATAAATTCATTGATTTCATAGCTAATTAAAGGAAGGCTTACCTTCAACATCAACAGGGATTACTTCCGGCGTCGAACCTACAGTGACTGTTGGGTTTCCGTCTTCAATTTTCCCCCTTTCCCTATTCTACTTTTTATTTGGGTAAATTACAGAAATCACATACTTTTAAGCCAAAATTACAATTTATCCCTTAAAAGTTTATAATTACAGAAATCCCTCAAACGGATACAATAATATAAGCGTTGATACATTAATCTGATGCGCGAGATACATTAATCGTTAAGTAAGATACATTACATTTTATACATGATACACTAATCTGATGTACATTTTATACATGATACACTAATCTGATGCGCGAGATACACTAATCTGATGCGTGAAAATGAGGAATTTTGGAAATTTGTAAAACTTATAGGGGATAATGATAATAAGTAAACTAAAAGGTGGATTTCTGTAATTAATCCTTTTTATTTTTGTTTTTGTTTTGAGACACGAAATTTGGGCTGTAACTTTGTACATATTTCCTTTCCAATAATATGGCCCAAATGGGTTTCTATGTAAAAAAAAATGCAAGATCTATGCATAATTCACAGTATACTTTATGTATCTATCTTACAATCTCAAAAATTTTAAATTTTGTGTGATATCAGATACCATGGCATATATCTGATATAGCTATTTTTCATTTTATTTTTTTTGTATCTAATATATAGCAATGTTATTTATCAGATACATGTATATCTAAGAAGTATCGATATTTGTGTTATATCATATACAAGGGGATGTATTCAATAATTAATCAAAGAAATTCATGTATATTAATCAGAATTACTTACATAACATGTATCTGACCTAATATTAACAACAACCTATATGTCATACTTATTAGTTTAATTTATCTTAATTATCTCATATACAGTTTAAATGAAATATGTTAAACAGTGTATCTGACACAGTTACACCAAACTATATATGATATAATAGAAAATTTGTATCTGAACTACCTTATATCATAATCTATCTTAAACAAGTTAGTAAATGTACTTGGATTAGTTAGGCGGTGCATCTATAATAGTTTCGTATTATGTATCTGAACTACAATCAACTATGCATCTTGATTTAGATAATATTAGAAATAAATGTTGTGACATATCTCATAATAAAATAATGATAGTGACCATTGTTGAACAAAAAAGGTCGAAATTATTCAAGAAGAAGTGTAAAATTTGTTGAATCTCCAAAAAAATAGAAGAATTTTAATTATTTTTAGAAGTTGTGATACGCCAGAATATTTCATAATTGTTACAAGCGTGAATTCCTCCTTAATTTATGGCTATCAATTACAATCCTTAAATAGATAAGCTTAATGATATGTATCTAACTAACCTGGATCCCAAATACATGTATCTAGACAAAACAAATACATGTATCCGCGGTAAAAAATATTTTGATCCTAAATGAAACATAAATTATATTTTAAGACAATTCCCTAAACTTGGGTTACCATTTAGGGAATTGACTCCAATTTATATGACTCACTTTCTTTTTTAGTCAATCTCAAAAATAACAACATATTTTTATATTAAGTAATACTTTAACTTTAAAATGTCCATTGTACCCTTTAGGGGAGTACAAAACCAAACCGAAAACCGAACCAAACCGTATACCGAGTCAAACCAGAAAAAAAACCCGACTAGTGGTTTGGTTTGACTTGGTTCGGTATTGGAAAAAAAAACCCGACTATATTTGGGTTGGTTTGGTTTCAACTAAAAAAAACCAACCCGAGACCAAACCAACCCGACATTATATATATAATTTTAAAATTTTATTTTATACATAAAAATATTTACTTTGATATAATTTTAAAATATTTCTTATAC